CATCAACGGCGTCAGTGCTCATTGCACATACGGTTGACCATGAAGAACTATATTGAATGATCCCTTGCGTCTAGACGTCAATGGCCCATTATATATAATCATTTATGATTTTGATAAATTTGATTTTTTGCAACTAGCTTTGAAATTATCTCTACTGTCTCTCATATAGATATTTGTAGATGAGACTCTTGTTGTAATCCTATACATATATCATATGTATGCACTTGAGTAATATTAAGTTTTACATTTGATCTTCTTAGTATGATACGAGAGCTTCTTCCATCCAAGCAAACATCACTCGTGCCCCTCTTTTCTTAAAACTCACCCTTTGCAAAATTTAATTCCTATCATCTCTCGAGTCCATCCCATTCCTGAACAAATTTCTTTTCCTCTACTAATGTTCTCATCCTTGATGTTCATGACCCTAATTAGCTAGTATGCATTCTGTTTTCATGATGTTGTTACAAATTAAATTCAAATTACATAAATTTTATCCCTGAATAGTTATAAAAAAATTATGTAATGAATCAAAGTCACATTGAAAAATATCAAAAGTTAAGAAAAAAGTTCTTAGACTTGAAAGTTAACCTATTTATATTAGTAAATGAATATATAAAATCTAAATATTAAAGGATACCAACAATTAACCGTTCATCTCATTCAAATATAAGTATTAATATAGTGTATATTATAAGACCAAAAAAATTATTATTTAGTACACACACATGTGTACACATATGTATATTCGTAATATAATTTTAAAAAACCATTTATACTTATATATTGAGAGGGATGGGTCAAGACATGGCAGGGTGACATGGGTCAATACTAAGACCCGTACCCGCCCATTTGCAAGACAGGGCAGACCAAACCCGTTCCTAAATGTCTCGGGATAGGCCGGGTCCTTGCGGGCCATTTTTTTTATATGCCTAGATGCTAGACTACTACCACGTAATGGAGTATGCACCCCAAACCTTGCTCTCTCCTTTTTACCTTGGATCCACCAAGACAAATTGCTTAGAGTGGTCATCGAGCATTATTTTGCAAATCTTTTGTTCATACAATCACAAGTCCCATAACGTCAAAAGAGGCGTGAGATACTCTTGTGCATGCTACTATCTATGCATAGCATTCTAGATGCCACATAAAAAACCTCAAATAACATTTTTCATGAATAATGTTGACATTGAGATAGAACTTCATAGTAAACCATTGGAACATGAAATTACATTGAGACAATTCAGAATGGCTTGGATGATGATTACAAATCGACATTTAACATTGTAAAAGGACGAGAGACATGTATCTCATTTTCGAGCTACATATACGAAAAACTTATAATAACTGGAATACATTAACTCTAGCTCCTCAATGGTACCGATTATCTATTACCCACCAACACCTATGTTGTAAGAACCGGACCGGAGAGCGACCCAGACATATGATCGGGTCACAGGTCAACCCGGACCCGGCGGGTCAGCCCGGTCAACAACCAGTAAACCCGGTCTACAACAATACATATAACTAATTAATTGTATACAAGATTAAATTCATGAGGTAAACCCGGTAAACCCGGTCTACAAGATTTAATTGTATACAAGATTAATTCAACAACCGGTAAACCCGGTCTACCAACTATTGAAATAATTAATTTGTAATTATTTCAAATGGTAAAGTTATTTTAACAACACTTTGAATGTATGTGTAGTAGCAAGAATAGTATATATTTTTGCTACTCTATATGTCATAAAAAGTAATAAAAATATAGAAGTAAGGATTTCTCTGTTCAGATATCTTTCGATCATTCTCAGGATCCTTTCTCTTTATATTTATTGCTGAATCCATTCTAGCTGTTAGATTATCTCATTGTTTTGGGACCAACAATATCCAACATACTAAAGATATCGATAAGGTATAACAAGAGCTAAACAATCAAAGCCACTAACTGGTTAATGTAGAACGTTGGCCAGTTGGCCTAAAATTGAAGTGATAGGTGAGAGGTCAAATCCCACCGGTGACATATTTTCCGGTTTTATTTTTATTTTTTTCGGGGTGTAACAGGATTCAAGTCATCGGTTAATTCCGGTTTTGGTCCAGATTGCGGTTTGATGCACAACTAGACCGGACAAAAGGCCGGGAGAACAGGTTCATGGTCGAACCGGCCGGTACGTTTCGGGTCTTTAAACATAGGACAACACCACCCCTAACAACTCATCACCATGTTCTCATACCTGCATCTCCCCATCCTCCTATCGTTGCACACAACCTCAATCTCCTCTCCATTGTGTCACCACACGTCTCATGAATAACATTCATTGACCCATCGAAAAGTTGAAACTTATAGCCCATGTTTGTATCCTCATGACCAACTATTGTCAAAGAAGAACTATCTGACTCTAAGTGACATCATTAAATGATGGAGGAATTCAATGGGTAATGACACATATACCTTGGTCCCTCGAACATGAAAAGTAAATATCGTTTAGTGTAAATGGACAGTTCACACTTAAATATCTTTACGGTGTCTCTATTAACATGTGCAAAGTTCGTTTGCAAAAGGCACTCATTCATGGATGTACTTAACAAATACATTGGTCCCTATTATTACACCATCCATCATTTCATTGGTGACACATCCCTGTTACGGAACCAACCACAATTTGCTTGGTTACGTTCTCTCACTAACTGTCCGTCAAGAATGCCCTCTCTATGAGTTTCACTTGTTCTAGTTAGCTTTCAAGCTTATGCCACATCCACAAAGTTATTTATGGATTCAAACAAGCCCAATGAGTTTGGTATCACGAACTCAAATAACTGATTATTTACACCGGGTTTCCTTTCGTCATATCCCCAGAGACGCGAATTGGGCCACACATTACTTAGCCAGGCATCATTCAGGCCCATTTCGTAATTTTGTAAGCCCAAATGCTCTTCCGACTCCTGCCAAAAGGGCCTATATGATGGATTTATTTGGCATTTTTTCTATTTGTACTCATTAATTTTTTGTTCTATTGGGTTAGATTTGGTCCCCCCAATTTCTATTTTTTTACTTGTTTCCTTTTCTTTAGGGATGTTTTGGTTTGGTCCCCTCTCTTATTGTATCAAATTCCCTTAATTAAATAACGGCAAATGACCCCCCGCCATTTGCCCCACGCGATATGTGGTTTGCTTTCTGGGGTAAAAAAAAACACTGGGTTTACAAACTCCAAGGTAAACACTTCTCTTTTATACGACCTCTTACTATTTACGTTCTTACATACACCATGATATTATTATTACCGGAAGCAACAATCAACAAATTACTATAATCATTTTTATTGGATTATTAGCTTATTTTATCTCAAACTTTCATTTTTATAAAAAAGACTCAAATTTCATCTATTTCAATAATTATGTTTTTTTTTTTTTAAATTACACATTTTTTATCAATGACAATAAGATATAAGCAGTTAGAATTAGTAAACTTAAAACTAGAAAGAAGTGAAAAAAATATGAATTATAAATATGGGTTTCTTCTTAACTTTTATCAATTCATCTATTGAAAGTGTAATTGTGACCAAGGTTGAAGTTTGAGTCATTTTTTTTATGAAAATGAAAGTACGGGATAGATTTGTGAATTTATAAAATTTCATAAAATTTCATATGAAAATGAAAGTACGGGATAGTAAATCATGCTCGGTCTAATGAAATTTCATAAAATTTATATAAAAAGTCATGTTAATTAACAGTGTGATCATATTTTTTTTTCACAAATTTAGTTTATGGTATTAATGTATTACTCCCTCCGTCCCTTAAAACTTTGATATCTTTCTTTTTTGAGACGTTCCAAAAAACTTTGTCACTTTCTCTTTTAATCAATTATTTTGTGGTTTCTGTTATTTCTCTCTCCTCTTCACAAACCTCAACCACACACTTTTACTTTATTATTCTCCGTGCCGGTCAACTTTGACAAAGTTTTAAGGGACGAAGGTAGTATAACTTATAAAGTTCATGCTTTAAGTATTATTGAGATGTTGGGATGTTTTTACTTGGGCCGAGATTTTCTGATATGATTTGGTTTGATCTAGTCTATTTAAGTCTTATCTAGTAGATGTATGGTTTATGTATTTTTATAATTGTCGAAGTCTGATCTGTCCAGTCTAATCTTTTTAAGGCTTGTGTGATCCGAAACTGAAATCAATTCAAGTAAGCAACAAAAACATCCTTAGTTATTAATTGTCTCTAACATTTGAAGTATTTGAATTTGAATTAGGATGTTTTCTTTTGGAATGAAATTTGTTAGTCTGATCTGATCTAGTCTTGTCTGTTTAAGCTTGATCTAATTTGTGGTATGAACTGGTGATAAATGTCTGGTCCATGTGCATTTTATAACTTTTAAATTCCGATCTAGTTTGTCTGTTTAAATCTGATATAGTATGTTATGATCTGTTAAAGTAAAATCCGATCTAACCAGGTCTGATTTGGGACTCAAAACCATCACAAGAAAATATCCTTGTCAACATAAAATCTATAGAAATGTTAAAAATTGTCAAAAAAACAAGACTAAAGGGTCAAATAGGCCATCGAACTAATTAAAAAGTGCAATTCACCCCTTATATAGAAGACTCTGTCCGGTCGTCGCCGATTGGGGCGGTTCCCGGTAGAATATTTTTGAGCATCTTCTTCTTTAAGTCTAGTTTACTCATACCAAATTTCAGTCAAAACTTCAATCGGGAAGGCAATCAAATGAATTTTTGAAGATAACTGCGCAACTAAACAGCGCAATACATTTCAGAAAATCATTTGACTGTCTTCCCGGTTGAATTTTTATCTAAAATTTGGTATGTGTAAACTAGAATTAATGAAAAAAATGTTCAAAAAATTCCACCGGAAACCGCCCCAATTGCAAAGGCCAGATATAAACTCTTACATAAAAAGTGAATTGCACATTTTAAATTAGTTCGAGACTATTTCGAGTACGAACTCTTCCAAATAATAACAAAGAACAAACGGGCACAACTGCACAAGACTTCAGCTAACCACAAACCACACGGGGGTGGGAGGCAGCGAATCACTCAAAGACCAAGTTACCCTTTTCCATCAAAGAGGAATGGGAGAAGTAGATTTGTAGAGAGAGAGAGAAAGATCTCCGCCGCATCGGAGCTGCAGCCGCCCTACTAATACCTCTTTCTCTCTTTCTCTCTCGCCGCCGCGACAATCATCCCATTCTGTATTCCCATCCAAAACTTACACACGCATATCTTTCGGATATAGTCGTTTCCCCTCGTCTCCAACAGGAAGAGGAGAGAACAATATTGCCGACTTTTATTATTTATTGCGAAGCCATAGGATATTTTGCTAGGCTTTTGTTGAAACCCTAGCTTAGAGATTTAGAGAGAAGAGATTGGAGAGGAGATATGGCGCAGAATGGGCAGGGAATAGAGCCTGCTCTTTTGGATGATATAATCAACCGGCTGTTGGAGTTCAGGAACGCCAGGACTGTACGGCAGGTTCAGCTCTCCGAGAACGAGATCCGCGCTCTCTGTAACACTTCTAGAGAAATCTTCCTTCAGCAGCCCAATCTCTTGGAGCTCGAAGCCCCTATTAAGATCTGCGGTATACACAACCATCCTTCTTTTTTTGTGCCCTTCTTTCATGTTCCTGCGTATGTTCAACGTGGGATTGTTTTGACGTTTCTTCTGTACTTAAAATTGATATACATTGTTTTTATTTTCGTTAGATAGGTGGCTATTCCTTTTTCCTATACAATGTTGTTTATTTTTTGACATACATTGTTGTAGTAGATAAATTTATGGAAAGTTTGAGTTTTGGAATCTGAGCTGATGAAGGGTGCCTAACACGTATTGCTGGTAGAAGGTTGCTGGTCAAGCATTACAGGCTCCTTTACTTTGTCTGTTTGGAAAGGGTCTGATTTTTTTCCTGCAAATGCTATTGGTCAGTATTTGTGCTTAGCACCCGTGTGAAATAGTTGGTGCAAAATTGACAACTATTGATTTCGGTGTACCTGTTTTTGATTCTTTAATACATCGTAGTTTTAAAATTGCTGGGAATCTGGGATGCTCTATTGCATTGACAAGTTCCCTGATTTCCTTGTTACTAGGTAGAGATGAATACTGTTGTATTCCTTTTTATTTTTTGGAGGAGGTGATATTGAGGCTTGCATATTGATATGTATCTTATTTGGCTAAACTGAGTCAATTGATACAATAAAGTAATCAATTGTGGGTTATTCCAATGTCCGCAATGTCAATATTTTGTTTTTATAAATGTGCCTTAAAAGTCATAACTAGATCATGAATACACAGATGGCTGTGCCTCAAATGAACAAAGAGACAACTGATGCTTTTTTCTTGTAATCCATTTTGCTTCTAACTTGTGTTCATAGCATAGTTGAATAAGGAGTCTTGCATAGTACTTATTGATTTTTCTATGCATCATATTTTTATGTTTATGATGCATATACAATACAATGTTTATGTCAGTTGATCCCTTTATTTTTTGCATTAAAAAATGTTTTTTTCATTTCGTTGATCTGGTTTCAGGTGACATTCATGGGCAATATGGTGACCTTCTGAGGCTTTTTGAATATGGTGGGTTCCCCCCTGAGGCCAACTATTTGTTCTTAGGGGACTATGTGGACCGTGGGAAACAGAGTTTGGAAACAATATGCCTTCTACTTGCATACAAAATCAAGTACCCTGAAAACTTCTTCCTTTTAAGGGGGAATCATGAATGCGCTTCAATTAATCGGATATATGGGTTCTATGATGAATGTAAGCGTCGATTTAATGTGAGAATATGGAAAACTTTCACCGAGTGCTTCAACTGTCTCCCGGTAGCTGCTCTCATTGATGATAAAATACTCTGCATGCATGGGGGTCTTTCTCCAGATCTAACAAATTTAGATCAAATTAGGAACATACCTCGCCCGACCGATGTTCCAGATTCTGGTTTGCTTTGTGATTTACTTTGGTCTGATCCTAGTAGAGAAATTAAAGGTTGGGGAATGAATGACAGGGGAGTATCTTACACTTTTGGGCCTGATAAGGTAGCAGAATTCTTGATGCAGCATGATATGGACCTTGTCTGCCGTGCACACCAGGTATATGAGCTTGTTGCACCCCCATGGCCTCACACCATCTTCTTTCCCTAATAATTATTAAATAGGGTGATTTCTTCTACAGGTCGTAGAAGATGGATATGAATTTTTCGCTGATAGGCAGCTTGTAACAATATTCTCTGCTCCCAATTACTGTGGTGAATTTGATAATGCTGGTGCTGTAATGAGTGTTGATGAAAGTCTAATGTGCTCTTTCCAGATTTTAAGGCCTACGGATAGAAGGCCTAGGTTTTTATAAAATGCAAGCTCATTAATGCTGGCTTTCCTTGATTAGCACCACAGGTTAGTTTTCTCTTTCTAATTCACATCCAAGTATCCAACTTTTGCATAATCTTATGAATTTTGATTTTATGACGAAGCGATCCTTACCATGTAAACTGCATTATGTGCATAAAAGGGATAGTCTCACGGTTAAATTTCCCTGGAATTACAAGTTTCCGAGTTTCTTCGCTTCTTGGCAATGTTTTGAATTTCAAAGTGGAGTGAAAGTTGGCTTAGTTTCCTGGGTTATCGGTTAAATCAGCTAATCACGCTGCGTGTAAGGCTTCATATTTTACTCAAGTTTCAAAATAACATTTATTCCTTCTTGAAGGATCTTTGGTTCATTTAAGGATTATCCTCTATTTTTGAAAATTTTATTTACAAATTAATATTCAAGAAAGATGAGAGTTATTTAACCCACATCTCTAACTTACTATTGAATGCATTTGGATGTCTACATATCTATCCACTAACCTAAGCATTGATGTCTAAGTTTCTGAATTGAGATATAAAATAGGGACATAAGTAAATGACAATCATTTTGCAAAGATAGAGTAGCACGAGAATGTTTTCTTAAGGTTATAGTGGTAAAAATAATCTATCATGTGAGGATCAAAAGTGTATTTGGAAGGCAAAAGCACGACTTATTGGTCCACATATACATGCATAAATACAGTTGTCAAATTCTCATCACATTATAGGATGGCTACTTGGTCCTACCACATAGAAGGCAGGATGAGTATTATGTAGTTCATTTTTCCCATCATCATACTCATCTTTAAGATTTTCCACGAGCCCTAATGAGTAATGCCTTAAGGTTCTCCGTTCATCCAAAAATTCAAGCGACACATTAGATGTAATTGATAATCAGTAAATGCATATTACTCTAATCGAGGCGCAGTCATGGATGACACAAGTGTGGCACTTCTCTGTTTTATTTACTTATTTTCATGTATTTAAAAATGTTGTTTTACTAAGGGCACCAATAGTACCTCTTGTATTCTATATCCTTTTCTCCTTCTCCTCCACCTCCTATTTTAATTTTATTTAATGGAAGCACCTCTTTCTTTGAAAAGGCAACCTGATATCATCTTCATGTTTTTATCTTTTTCTTCTTCTCCTCCACTACCTCCTACTCCGTATTATATATGACTTTACAACACCTAGCCCTGTATTTTTTCATTCATAAAATCAATTGGGGCACACGCCTCCTTATCCTCGCCTGCAACAACAACATCCAAGCCTTAGTCCCAAAAGATATTGGGGTCGCCTCTCTTTGGAAAAAAGTTACATGGAGCCATGGAGGTTTGTTTATGTTTTTTTCAAACATTGAAGCCTTAATGCCTTATAGATTGATTTTCTCTTAGACTTATGTTCTTTTACCACAGACACTAACTTGGTAAGTCTACTATTGTTGCGATCTAAATTGTTAAAGCAACATATGAGGCTTGAGGAGTTTGCCACCCAGCTTTTCTGGACTTCTGATCACTGGGTTTCAAAGTTCTCATCACATGGTGACCATCATGGCACAGGGGCAGTTTGTCGTTGCAATGGCGCATTTATTGTGTTGTCATGAAACACTAAAATATAGAAGGATAAATATGACCTATTGGCAATATAGTTCCATTACCTGGCCACCAATAAAAGAGTTAACTAACCAAATCCAAGTAAAACACATAAGCAAGTCATAATATTATAAAACATAATCCTAACAAAACTCATGATCCTATTAAAAACACTTAACCAACTTAATTGTACTTGACCAACTTAATTATACTTAACCAACTTAATTACAAACCAACAGCCTTCTGGTTCACGCCTGATGAATGCTGGGTGTTGGTGGTGGTGAGGTGGTCGCTTCCAGCTGGATGGGTGTTGGTGGTTGCACAACAGTCTTCATTTTTTCTTGCGCTATGTATTTCTTTGGTATTAGCCATTAGTTGCTAGTCATTGATCGTATTACTAGGTCAGTCATGTATTAGCCATTAGGGTTTACAAATTATTGTTGGGGCCTAATTCAACTGACTTGCACGGTTAAACACTTACATCTAAGGGCGTATTTAAAAACCCTAAATTAAGACTCGAAAATGGCGAACAAGGCTCAGGAATGGCGACACGACATGCAGAATTGGCGCCAGCACCAGGGATTGTGGCGAAGACTCCCCCAAACGCCAATGACGATAAATGTCCATTGCCATTTGTGCCATTGATTACTCTGCTGGGTTTATTGCTTTTTGCTGTTGTGGTACACTGTACGGTCTACACCATATGGTGAGGCAGCCTTTTCTTCAATAGATTTAGCAAAACTATTACTTAGGATCCTGATTCAGTTCTAGATCTTGTTTTCTTACATATCATGTCTTGTTTTGGTTCCTGTTTTTTCTTTTGGCAGTAATTACATTTTGGGTGGTGATCTGTGGGGAGTAAGGACTTCGAATAACTGATAAGCAAAAAACTGGATCCATTACACTGAATCGGATTTTGCAAAGGCAATCGTTAGTAATTTGTATCTTTTGAGTTTGAGCTATTTAAGTATTTAACCAAAAGGAAATGAGGTCATGTTTTTTAGATCATATGCAACTAACCTCCATCTCTTTATTTCTGCTCTCTAGTTACCTTGCGAGTTGACATAAAACTGTCAAGCAAAAACAATGAGGTTGTAATTGTAATGGTGCATATTTCTATTACTTTTAGATTATAGCAAAACTTTATCACACCAACCAAATCTTTATTTTAAACTTCTGAGTTGGTTATATGAACCATAAAATATCTCTGGAGGTCTTCTACCAAAGTCCTTGTTTCGTACTTGTTTCTGCAATAGAGCAATGAACCATACATCTCATAAAGTTGCGGCCCTCTCATCCCGCTTTTTACACCTTCAGTAGCCCTACAAATTTTCTTGTTGTGCTCTATCTTTTCTAGTTTTGCCACATTCAACATACGATTCAAGTTTATGTCACATTGTCACACTCATGCTCTTTATTAAAACAATATATTCCTAAATCAATTCAATACTCTTTTTGCTTGTATAATAAGTCACTGCATTTTGTTGATTGTAGATATCATTGGTTCAATCTATATGCCCAGAGGCTAGGTCCCTAGAGTTTATTGCAGTTCTTCTTCTAGTCAATGAACATGTAATATCTTGTGTGAGATTAGCATGAATGTAGTGGATAGGAGTGTAGAGAGGCTGTAATGGGTATTAACCATTACATTGGAGGTATATAAGATATATAGCCCATGGCCTGATCAGCACCCGTGCTTGAGTGATACAAGGAAAGATCAAGGGATGAAATACATTAGATCCATGTCTTACGTTAAACTTTAAATCAGTCAGAGTAGAGCTACTTACTCGTTGCAGTTTTTTGGTGTAACTTTTCTCTAAATTGTTTTTTTCCAAAAACATCACAAGGCTCCACAGTCGCATATAGTTTAGCCTGATATTGTCTATTCCGTCTTACTAATTGGATCTAGCTACTTATCATATGGTTTCATTCAATCGCTAAACAATTCTTGAGGTTGCTGAAAATAAAAAATGAACCCTTGATTATCCAGAGACCAGAGTACACGAATTTGGTGAGTTTTTGCCACTTTTAGTCCTCCGACTATTATGTCATTGGCACTTTTGGTACTTGACTTTGATTTTTTCCACTTTTAGTGCTCGACTATTGTGCTAGAGACATTTTTGGTACCCACCTTTGAAAATTTCCATATTTAGTTCTCCGACTTTCATAGAAGTGACACTTTTGGTCCTTCAACTATTATAATAATGACATTTTTAGTCCTCCACTTATTGTGTCAAAATCATAGTGAAAGGACTAAAAGTGTCAATTTGATAACACTCAGGGGACTAAATGTGGAAAACTTTGAAGTTGAGGACTAAAAGTGTCTTTAGCACAATAGTCGAGAACTAAAATTGGAAAAATTAAAAGTCGAGTACCAAAAGTGTCAATGACACAATAGTCGTGGGACCGAAAATGGCAAAAACTCCGAATTTGGTGTTTTAATGCACTTTATCAATTTAATATTTGTAAATTTTATTTTATAATAAGTATCACTGGGACAAATATTGAGGGGGATTTATTGTAAAAGTTCATTTCCTGTTCATATCTTTATATGCTACTACGTATCACTTTACAGTGTTTGCGAAAAATCTGATTGGTCAATTGACTTGTAATTTGCCAAACCTCAATGGGGGCAACTGTGATTAACCCTATTAATGGCTTGATGAGAACTTGACCCTCTCATGGCTCATGATTGAAAGAACCTCCATACCTCTTAGTACAATGTTTCAAGTCAGCTAATGGTAGTTTGAAGTCAGCTGATGGTAGAATCTCTAATATTCCAGTCAACTAAGACATGTTTGCATTTTCCAGGGTAGATTACCGCAGTGGTTATGTATTTATAATATGTTCATATAAATTTCTTTATTAAAAACATACACATGAAAGTAGAGATTTTATTGAACTTGCAAATTCAGATGACTGTCTGGTTACTTAACACTTGCAGTCAATTTCCATGCAGAGTATAAGTTATTATGGAGACGGACTATCTGGACAAGGATGCTGGTTTTTTGAAAACTGGACAAATGAAAGTATTGTTGATTCAGAGGGATAAGGATCTTTGTTTTAACTTTTAAAATATTTGCATTCGGGTGAGAATTTATATGACTCTTAACCACTATAGTTTGGTGCAATTGTTTCCGGGGTGTCCACCCTCAAGAGACTACAACATTTAGGATCTCGGGCTTTTTCTTACATTTTTTTTGAATTTTGTGGTACAATTCATGATTTGACTGTGTAAATACAATTGGATATGTAAATTGCGATGGCAGTGTAGTTTTATTACTGTGTTGTGATTTGGCTGCCCCTTACTATCTATGCCTATTTGTGTGCAATTTGTGGGTAAGCTGTTTGAATCAAAGTTTATACTGCTAGTAGTTGCTATATTCGTTTTGTTTGATGGAAAAAGTTAGCTACGTATGGTGATGCTCATAGATTGGCATCTTATTGCCCTAACCCTTACCTGGTTGCCTCCTTACTCCTTAGTAGTGGTGATGACGAGCTGGTTCTGGACTTCTGGTTCCTGAATGTGTTTTTCAAGTGGAGAAATGTTAGAGACTAGAACTAACAGTGGGTAGAATTGCATTGCCATTTGCCAGTGGTAGTACTGTAGTAGGTCTTTCGTGAAAGTAGATGTATGAGGTGCGATTGTTGAAGTGATTTACTTTAGAGATTATAGATTAAATATTTAATTGTAAAAGTTTGAGAAAAAAAGTACCTTTTGTTGAATTACTCCATAGCTTTTAATAAATAAAATATGATTGAAATAGGGAAAAACAATTTAGAAGCAAGGTTGGTAATGCTAATTTTCAATTTGGTTTTCTAATCAGTCAACTTTCTTTATCAAATAGTATAATACTACGTAATCAAAGTAAGCAATGTTGAAAATTTGAAGTTATATTATCGTAGTGAATTTTTTAACTGTTTGTGTTTATTAGAGCAACATGACATACAATATACAAAATGTTAGTGTTATTTTAATTAATTTTAGAGACTAGATCTTCTTGACTTCAATCTTCATGAGGTTCAGCTGGTTTTAGCATCATCAAAGGCGCTAGCGTTACCAAATGAGCTCGAAGTATTCTACTGTTGTTTGGAGCCTTAGTTTTGAAGTACTTAAAGACTTAAACAAAAACTCGAACACGAATTTTTAAAAGCAATCTCAAACCCTTTTATCATTAGTTCATGGGATTCTTCGTTAACTTTTATCTAAATGGTTGAAGTCTTGAAGATGCCAAAGGATTATACAATTATACGTAGTATTCCAAATGCCTTTTAACGAATCTGGTTGGCTGGGAAAGACTAAGGGATGGACCCGGGTCGGGTTGGGCGGTAACGGTCCTAGAAAATTGGAGCCCAGTACCGGCCTAATATGCTTCGGTACCGATTTTGGGCAGGGCCCAAACAGTACCGGGCCCATGTCTATGCCACCCATTTAATTAATTTTTTTAAAATTGCAGTTGGGCCCGGACCGGATCGGGCCCAAAAAAGCCCACCCGAAACCTGCCCCTTATAGGTGCTCCGATTATAGGGCCGGGCTAGACCTAGGTTGGACCTCCCGGGCCAGGCCATCCCTAGAAAAGGCAATTGTACATCAAGTAAAAGAACCACAAGAAAAAAGAACAATAACAATTTAGAATGAAGAAACAAGAACCCTCGAGATTTTTTATAGCATTATTTGGGAATTGATCGTAAAACAATAACATGTATATTTAGTGTACCAAATTCTTCTTGAATTACCATTTACCAAAGTGCATGATCCTTAATAGCTATACTCACTTGGTCTGAGAAAACTTTATATATCTTTCATTCGCTAGTGGTAACTGATATACTTTCATACCGACATGATTTGTAACTTTATTGTTGACTGATGAAAGGTAACTTTCATAGTCACTGACATATCATTGTTACCTTTCGAATGAATGGTAATAAAGTTTTGATTATGATCGATTTCGATTTGTTCAATAAATTTTATAATTTTATGAAAGTAATTTTGAGAAAGAACACATTATTTTTATATTAATAATGATTTCTTATAAAAATATAGAATTGATCAAAGTTAATTAGTTGAATATGATTGGCCGGAAAGTTCAAAGATGACAAGGTTTTAAGAGATGAAAGGGATATGTAGAGGTGGACCTGATCGGCGGTTCCGGACATGTTTGGAATCGTGCGGAATCGTGCCCGCTACTGTGCGAGACAAAACTGGTTACGTTTTTCGGTCCCGAGTCAAAACCAGGTACCCATTCGGGTGAGGGCTGTTACCAGTCTTGGGTTCCAATATTTGGGAAAAAACCGGACGGTTCAAGTCATGGTCCAGTCCTAGACCACCATATTTTATAGCTTAAAACCGGGTAAATAGACCGGAATGTGTCCGGTTCCAAGACCCTATCACCAGAGTACCCAAAACCAGCCCAGACTAGGAATATTGTGGTTGATTCCGGGCTTCTCATTTCACAGGCCGGGACCAGTTGATCTGGATTCGAAATCGGGATCGGGTCCATGCTAAAGGGTATGGTTGATATCCCAAAGAGAACACATGCTTACTCTTTTCCTTATAGTTTTAAATTTGATTGGAAATTTCTGATTTGCTCTTAATCATTTGATTCGTTCTATTCTTGGGCTCTTGGCTGATCTACTTTGCTCTTAATTATAGGATGTTTATTCTATGTGTGTAACAACAAGATTTGATTTAATCTAGTTTGGTTGAGTGTGATGGAGTCTCGGATTCAAAGTAATCGAATAAAAAACGTTCAAAATCCTTATAATGCATTAATGCTATAGTTTTTCAAACTCGGGAAGTTTCCGCAGCAAATTATGGTCTATAAACAAATAAAACAAAGTATGGAAGGGCTGAGGAATATATGGAGAGAAAAGGGCATCTCAGTTCCATAATTTAAGAAGACCTTAGACTAGCGGCTGGGTGGCAGGAAGCCATAAACTCTGGATCATTTCAATTTTCAAGCTACCAAACATGTTCCCAATGCACGTTCCTTGTGTATTAATTATGCATGATAATGATGGCAAGAGTTTAAACGTGGATGCCTTGCATGAACTCAGCCCAATTTATGAGTCAGAAGACATTGCTCATTTTCTGGTGGCTTTTCCAAGTGTCTCTTTCTCCCTCATTTAAATACTCTTCTCCCACTTCCAATTTTCTTCACTTCTCAACTCAACCCTTCCCACACTGCTAGCTTCTTCTTACTTGCATACTTTGCAGTTTACTAAACATGAAGAAGGCTATCACATCTTCAGCATTACTTCATCAGCATCTCTTACTCATACTTGTTTCAATCCTCCTCTCTGCTGTTATACCAGCAAATTCGCAGTATCCTTCTGGTGGCTACGGATATCCACCCCCATCTGGTGGTGGGTCTCCGCCTTACTCCGGTTCTAACCCGCCACCACCTCACCCTGGCCGTACCCCTCCTTCACATGGACATCAACCGCCTTCTCATTGCGGTGGAGGCAATTCCCCTCCCTCACAAGGCTACACGCCGCCTTACTCCGGTTCTAACCCACCACCACCTCATCATTGTCGTACTCCTTCACATGGACATCAACCGCCTTCTCAAGGCGGCGGCAGCAATTCTCCTCCGTCGCAAGGGTACACACCGCCGCCTTCATCTCATCATGGGAGGACTCCACCATCACATGGACATCATCATCAGCCACCTTCTCATGGTGGCGGTGGCGGTGGCAGTGGCAGCTATTCTCCTCCATCAGAAGGGTACACACCGCCACCTTCATCTCATCATGGACACCATCATCAACCACCTACATCTGGTGGTGGGTCTCCGCCTTACTCCGGTTCTAACCCGCCACCACCTCATCATGGACATAAACCACCTTCTCATGGTGGCGGCTATTCTCCTCCTTCACATGGACGACACCAACCACCTCCCAGAGGCGGCGGCTATTCTCCTCCTTCATATGGACATCAACCACCTTCCCGAGGCGGCGGCAGCAAGTCTCCTCCTTCACATGGACACCAACCACCTTCCCAAGGCGGGGGCTATTCTCCTCCTTCACATGGACACCAACCACCTTCCCAAGGCGGCGGCAGCTATTCTCCTCCTTCACATGGACACCAACCACCTTCCCAAGGCGGCGGCTATTCTCCTCCTTCACATGGACACCAACCACCTTCCCAAGGCGGCGGCTATTCTCCTCCTTCACATGGACACGAGCCACCTTCCCAAGGCGGCGGCTATTCTCCTCCTTCACATGGACACCAACCACCTTCCCAAGGCGGCGGCTATTCTCCTCCACATGGACACCAACCACCTTCCCAAGGCGGCGGCTATTCTCCTCCTTCACATGGACACCAACCACCTTCCCAAGGCGGCGGCTATTCTCCTCCTTCACGTGGACACCAACCACCTTCCCAAGGCGGCGGCTATTCTCCTCCACATGGACACCAACCACCTTCCCAAGGCGGCGGCTATTCTCCTTCACATGGACATCAACCACCTTCCCAAGGTGGCGGCTATTCTCCTCCTTCACATGGACATCAACCACCTTCCCAAGGTGGCGGTTATTCGCCTCCGTCTAAGGGTGGCAACCGACCACCCTCTCATGGGTACAATCCACCGTCTCCGCCATCAGGCAGCTATACCCCTCCTCCTCCGCCAACTTATTCACCACCGCCACCATCCCCATCTTATTCACCTCCTCCCCCAACTTATTCACCACCACCGACGCCTACTTATTCACCACCGCCACCAACATATTCCCCGCCTCCTTCACCAAGATATTCACCATCGCCGCCTTCACCAACATATTCACCTCCATATGGGCAATCACCACCTCAGCTTCCATACTCTCCATCTCCACCTGCATACGGGCAGTCACCACCACCCGCTCCATATTCTGCCACCGCCGGAAACTACACTGCACCCACTCTGAAAGTTTAATATTAATCGCCTTCGTCAGCTGCAATGAAATAAATGAGATAAATTATCAACGACATATATATGCGTGCTTAGCAGTGTAGGGATAACTAGAGTCAACGCATGAATTACTCTAGATAAATTAAAGCTCTGATTACCATACTCTATTTAAGAATAATCAGCAATTAATATATACTCCTAATGTAACTGTTGAATGTATGGCTTGCAGTCAATTACTATACATATTCGCAAGAAACATACTTAGTGTGCATAATTACTAATTACTCGGTATATGACAACCTCACATGATACCGTTCCTTAATATAAAATGTCTTCTACATTTTCTAAGAACTAAAATTGTACTAATATTACTAAATTACCATTAATGAAATAAAATTAAAAGCTTTCCCAGAAATGTACAGACAAGGCTTTCCCAGGGCCTGAAGTCTGCCAGTGATGCCGCACTTTGACGAGTT